TATACACACACACACACACACACACACACACACACACACACACACACACGGAAACTGCCGCAAAGTGTAGCCTTGCACTCTCCAGGGAGACAGGATCGCAAAATGCTTACAGCTTGAGTAACGCTCTCTGAATGTCATGGTGCAGTTAATCCGGCAAGCAAAACGTGGTGATGGGTAAAAATAACACAAGCACTTTTAGAACATTTATAAAAAAAAAATAAAAAAATAAAAAAAAAACCCACACAAAAAAAAATTAAGGGGGAACGCAGTCACACCCAGGGGTTCCAGCAACTGACAGGGTGGAACCGATGACGGCAGTTTCCTGCCATGACGAGAGCAGCGAGGCTGAGGGTGCGAATGAGGGGCAGCCCCCTCATGGGTAGGGGGGTACATCCTCGGGACTGTCTGCAGCTGAGCCGAGCAGAGACACACCTCTGTCCCGGGAACAGGGCAGACAAACAACCTCACAGCTTCGCTGCCCTGGGGCCTGCTGAACGTTCTAGAAGGTCCATCTGTTCAACCCCCCCCCCCCCCAAACACCACCCCCCACCAGAGACCCCGTTAACACAGCTCTCAGGAGGCTTCAAAAACAAGCAGAGACAGCAAAAGGTTTAAGAAGCATGAGGCGACTTTCATGGGTAGGGGCGGGCCTGTCAGATTTTAAATTTTAATCCAGAACGTGCCTCCTTTAGCAATCAGCATTTCAAGGGGAAGAAAAACCAAAGGGAAGACAACAAAATCCCACACTAACAGCTCTCCGGATGCCAGGTTCAGAAGCCACAATTCCTCACGCTCATCTGGACTTACACAATGAAAAATAGTAAGATTAATAAATTGATTTAGTGTCAAAGTAAGGAGGGAAAAGGTGGGCACCTTTTGTGTGTGACGGTGGTATCCCCCACCCCCACCCACAAAACAATGGCAAATAAAATAAGGAGCCAGAAAAGCAAGCGCAAATAGGATCCCCTCCACCCACTTCCTGGATGTGTTTTCAAGCAAAAGCCCTCAGGGATGGTCCAACCCTGCAAGATGGTCGGGGCTGGGAGAGGGAGGGGTCAGCCGCTACAAATGCCCTGAAATGACCAACGGCAGCATTAGCGGCTGCCAGTAAGAGGGGGCTAAGCGATCTGCGCTGCTCCTGAAGGGCTCCCAGGGTTGGGAAGATTGTGGATTTGATGCTCACAGCAAAGAAATCATTAAATATAAGCCAAGACAGAATGGCTGGGCCAAATGAACGCAGGACTTGAATCAAGGAGTTTGTTCTGTTAAGGTGTTGCCAACTAATGACTCACATTTTAAAAAATTGGCAGCAGTTTCAAGAACCTGAAGGTTGCAGAGGTCCATCGGTGACGAGAATGAAGGAGAGATAAACCCACGTAGACTTCCTGGCTTCTGCATGAGAGAGGAAACTCAAGCCGATATTCTCTTGAACGAAAAGGATTTCCTGTAGAAGACGGACATCTTGGCTGAAGAAACACTGATGAACGACTGGTGTGATGACTCTGGGCTTCCAGGGAAGACACCACAGGGACCATTGGTCAACCTTTCCAGACTAAAACGAGGATCGGTGGAGGGAGCGGTGAGTCACAGTGGAAATCCAAGCATGCGGTGACACACCAACCATAAGCTCTCCAAAAGTCACCAGGAGGCCAGCACAGTGAGTCCGCCAATGTGGGCTAGAGGCCAAGACGCCAACCTAACCCTCAACACAACAGCCGGCCTGACTCCCACCACCCACCTCCCACCTCCCACGTCACAGTCAACCACCGGCTTTGAGGACCGACACCAAAGCCTGGCTGTTCTTCTACGAGTGGCATCTACACGTTTACACAAACACAGGGGCAGAGCGATTTCACTGGAAGTGAGGCAGCATTAGATAACCGACTGCTGACCAGAGGAATGTCAAAACCAGCTTCCTATTACCAACAGGAAGTCCGGTGATCTCCAGCTGCCCCTGTGACAGGCTGTGTGTGGTCACTGGTTTCCATGTGAATCCGTTCTCCAGGCTGAAACTGCTTCATTTACTAATCAGGTTACCAGTCTGTGCTTTTCCTTCGCACCGTCAGAAAGACCTGTCGCTTATTCTCAGAATGTCCCTCAGGGGTTCTGTAGACCAATCAAATACCTACCTAAACCTGGTCACAAGATCACCATGCCAAAACATATTCCTAATTGGCATGGCAAGCAAATGGAATTCCCAATATTGGAGCGTACAAGCCGTCACAACAGGTACAATTAAGCAGCTCCCAGATGCGCTAGAGTCAGTGACAGCCATTATCATCGGGTTGGGAGGGGCTGACATGTGATGTCACACAATGTCACCCAAACCAACTGTGTAGAGGTGCCCAGAACCTGTATCTTTTCAGAGGTCTCTCCCCCAGCCCCAATTCCCACTAAAAAATCCCCAGCGGATATTAAAAAAATGAGGTGACAGAGTCAAAACACACCCACAATGCTTTAAGTCTGACCCCCTCCTCACCATACATCCCATGGAGGGGTAAACAAAGCCCCCACTGTTCACAGCGGATCTCCTGTGGCAGCCGGGCTGTGGAAAGAGGGTAGACACTTGGCGACCCAGGGCTTTGGCGGAGTGCCCTGGGAAAGGGATGGGCTACCAGGCCCTACATCCAAAGAGGCGGCAGTGTCAGCTGGACAATGGGCACGGCGGCGCCAACACCCAGCACAAGACACCAGCCTTCCAGCTCCACATTCAGGGTCCATTTCATTGATTGATATTTGTTAAATGTTAAGTTAACGGCCTCATTCTCAAAACCACCCAGATAGGGATGACCAGGCACACACACTCAGATGGTGCCAGAGAGAGGGATTCATTAGCACGTAAATATCAGGAAAAGAGTGAACAAAACAAACTTTTAAGGGCTTTAAATCCCACTCTTAGAGAGTGTGACAGGCATGGGTAGATTTTAGCTGACAGGCAGGCATGTGCTGTCACAGCATGGGTCACAGGGTGGAGGGTCAGATGAGGGCCTGTTCTGCTCTTGTAGCCTTAGACAGGAAGAAACTGGTACACGGCAGCCTCTAACAGTTAGGCAGAAGGGGATGGCACCCACCATTACGAAACGCAATTTAAAAAGCTACCAGGCTGGGGTTCATTTAATTATATTCATTTTCGCTGGGCTGAAGTTAAGCCAACAGAACAAAGCAGAGGGCTGTGGACAACAAAGGCAATTAAGGATTATTCTGCAAAAGGAGAACCTGTCGTCATCCCCGGACATGGAGCATCGTCTGACAGCAATTAACACAGGAGGCCAGCAGATGAAAGGCAAACATCTCCCAGAAAGCCCTGGCCTCCACCGACCTCGAGATCACCATGGATACCGCCGTCACACGCAAACGTGCCTGTAACCTTCAGAATCAAACAGCCATTCTGCTCTGACGGCAAGTCGTTGCCTTGTGTTCCGACCCACTAAAACGCCTCACATATGGGGCATCAAGACAAGACAGACAGACTCATGCTTTGTAAAACATAGCTTAATGGATTCAAAGGCTAGCAAAGCCAAACGTCGTTCCACTGAGGCCCAACTCACAACAGAATCATTTTTGTTACTTAATATATCACATTTATAGAGTTATTTTAGATGGATTTGGGTCCTTTCCATTCATGCTTGGCATCCACATAGCCCTTCACCTTATCGGTGGTGAGCCCATAATGTGATCTCAAATGCTGAACACCATCCCCAGGCCGGGCTCAGGGGTGGAACCCAACTGTCCGGGGCAGATTACTCTTGGTACCTTTCATGCGGGTATATACTGGAACGCAGTTTTATCAAAATAAAGCCGCTGCAACTTCATATCTACAGATGAACACCATCTGGAAGGCTTCTTAGGGAGCTGTTCAGGCATGTCCCACTGGGTGAAGGTCCCGGCACAGACCCAGGACACATTGGGGGGGGGTTTTCTCTCTCTGACCAAGCATAAAACATCTGTGGATACTGCAGGATGAGCTATGGTCTCTGACCTGCTTGGCACATTCCCACCGCAACCCACACCAGGAGAAGCAGTATGATGGTGACCATCATCGTAATCACTTTAGACGTCAAGGGATTCAACAAATCCATGGTATCTTATGAGCTAAAACAGCTGTCAAACAGCTAAGTAGGTTACTGTCCAGACTGTATATTGGAAATTATTGTTATTAAAAAGAGACACCAGACTCTTGGGAGATCAGGAGCTGAGCTCTGCCGAGGACACACATAGAAACAGTGCTGAAAGAGGCTTCTGCCTGCCACACATCCATGTCTGTCTGGGATTCCTCAAACTGTTTCCACGGAGACTGTAAATGCAGCCAGGTTCCTGCCCCCACCCACCAGACTACCAGATTGTGGATTTTAAAAACCTTCAAGGAGGAAGGCATCCATCTCTTCAGAGAAGAAAGGGCAGCTGTCCCTCTGATTCTATTCCTGACCAGCCAAAAACATACTTCTGGCCAAACTAGGTACATTACGGTAACACATTAGAATGTGTACAATACATTAATTTTCTGTCCAACTTGCGGTTGTCCAGAAGCACAGCAGTGCAGGGGGCTGCATTTCCACGTGGACTTTGTAAGAAAAGGCCCACCTGGGAGATGTGGTTGATGGAGGACTCCATCCGGCGCAGCTGCGATGCCTGGATGTCCAGCAGCTGCAGCACATTGTTGGCCAATGCGTTAATCTGGTAGGCGACGCTGGCCAAGGACTGCGTGGTGTAAGCCTTGGTCTCCTCCAGAGCCGCCTTCTTGTCCTGGGCCTGTGGAAAGGGGGTGGAAGAAGGCAAAAATCAGCACATGTTGATCAGAGAGTGTCGTGTTATGGTTGGGAATGGCAACAGTTGCAGACCTAAAGACCAGCAAGCTGAAGTAGAGAAGGTGCTTCGTGTAACCTGATCCATCATCTGGGTCTATATGCTGGATAAAAATTACAAGTCATTTGAGTAATTACAGGACAAGCAGCAAAATATACATAATTATGGGACAATGTGTGACTCGGTGGGTTAGCATTCTATGCCCATGCTGGAAAGGTAGCTGGTTCAAATTCCAGGGATTGTCTGACCATGTTTTCTCTTTGGATGGATGTGTTTACCAAATAAATTGAATTAAAATTATAACTGTGTAAACAGCATGGAGCTATAAAGGCAAGAAGCCCTGTAGTCTTGGCTCCTTCACTCCCTTCACGGATAATCCAACTGCAGACAACAGTTTTGGAATCCAGATCCAGGAAGATGTTCTGCTGTTTCGGAATCCTGCGAGGCAAATACATTTCACCCATAAGGCAGCTGGAGGTGAAACCTTCCAAAGTAAGTCAGAAAAGCCTCCGAGAACTAAGGGTCTGAGGCGGGGGAGGTCACAAAGGTGGCGGCAGATGGCAGCTTCCAAAGAATGTAAAGAATTCCTGTAATGTAAGATCCTGAGTGGACAGGAACACAGCCATGTGATCAGACATGACTGTCTGCGGCTGCTGTCCCCGAGATCGGCGCCATGCCAAACCAGCAGCATTGCGAAACTTAACATCAACAAGAACTTAAAGAAGTACCCCAAAAGGAGGACTGATGTAATGTGCGTGTAATTGTGGGGGGTTGGGGGGGTACAGAAAACAATGAAGATAATGTGATTGGACCTTATTTTGCGATTGATTTCCCTAGGTCCGGGGGAAAAATATGTATAAAATTGTAAATCAAATTCACACATCAGCCAGGAAGACAGGAAGCCAATTAGGGAGTTAAGAAGGAGAGGAGTTATCTTCAAAGCAGCCAAATAAAAATGAAGGATGTTTTTAATGGGTGCCAGGCTTTCAGAGCGAACGCGTTACTGGGCAACTCAGGGTGCTGGATAATTACAGTTAAAAAATGCGCTAATTAAGAGTGTGGGGCTTCAGACCCAAGCAGAAGCACTAGCTAGTCGGAAATGGGGAATGGGGAAACTCCCAGTGAAGGTCCTCGGCTATTACGGCTGCTGGCTTTATACGTGGCGACTTATGATGGCGAAAAGGGTATGAAACCAAACTGAGGAGATGACAAACAAGTGGTGTGCAGGGTCACAGAGATAACATAGACCAAGTAACGTAACCAACAAGAAGTGGGTAAACCAGTAGCCGTCTCATCGCCACACTGATTTGGAACACTTATGTTGTTATTACGCCATTACTTGTGCGTGTGGTTCAAAAAAAAAGTTTGGGTCATTTTCCTCTTGAAGCTGTACATTGAAACATCGACCATATCAGCCAATTGGGTCCTAATGGGTTAAACTAGTGAGCAATGCCCACCGTGGGTTTCGGATCCTCATGTCTCCTACCGCCACAGGAAAACGACAACACTTTGGCTCCTCCTCCAGAGAGGAGTGATATAACAGATGTGTTTTCAGGGCCTCTGGAAGGAAGGTGGGCTGAACCAGTGGGCTGTGATCACCCAGTCCTTTGGACGTACACAAGCCCGTTAACAGTTCTAGCATCCTCACTCCCTGACAGCATAGAAAGATAAATAAAATGCAAGTTTTTAAAACCCACAGAAAATGTCTCCTTTCTGTTCCATACTCTCTTCACGACGTACTAGAAGAGCTACGATCTGCCGCATCATTTACAGCTACTCACAGGGCCAAGCATTAGGAAATCCACGCAGAGCGCATGAGGGAAGACGTGGTTCGGATCCACCAAGACTATTGTCACATCGACGCGGACAGCCAGAACGCCAGTTTAGGCCCAGCCGACACGCTACCCAATGAAGCATGATCATTTAATCTCCAAGGGCAAACTGTGAGAAGGTGAAGGGAGAAGCCAGGGAGAGAGCAAGCAGGACAGAGCCCTAGGTGAAATTCAATGTGGAGAGGGTCAGAATGAACAACCAATTCACAGAGCGTTGCAAGCTACAGAGATAAGGGCGTTGGAAGGGAGGGGGCTGCTCAGGATCTCAACCTTGGTTATTGGTGACAGCCCAACTTATGACCTGAAGCAGAGCTCCGTGACTAAACTCCTAAAATGGTGAAACTCATGCCTGAAGACACCATGCCTGGAGGGGAAAAGTGACCCAGGGCAACAACCCCGTCCTCACTTTGCCTGATTTAAAAGTGGATACAGAAAATATCTTCATCACAAAGAATCCATGTTTAATGTAGTCATATATAGTCACGCATATAGACAGACTAACATTCTGAAGTCTTATTACAGGCATACATATAAATCAGTCTGTCAAAAAGACTACCTGAGCCGGGTAATAATTAACCACAAGGTGTACTTTGGCGTGCAGTTTCTGTTACAACACAGATGGGGGGGGGGGGGTAGCAATACAGAAGCCCTGCCAGTGATCAGCACAGCACCCAAACCAGGACAAGGTCCAGTGCTAAACGTAAGACCCATTTCCAAAAGCAAAAATCTACATATAACACAAAGGCGATGACTAATGCTAGGTTACCCCCCCTCCCAAATGCCAAATATGAGGAACCAGGACTTCCAAAGTCGAGACTCATTACAAGCTGCCAGCGAGGTGGCTATCAGGACAAGACACCAACACTAGGCCAGATCACAGAGACTGCTGCATCCCATCACCACTATTGTTTATCCTCTTCACCTATGCTGGTTTTACTCACAGTGGCAACATCAGTGCAGCATCACAGGCTTATTCTAAACTTTACAGCATCCTGGGGGAGGGGTGGGAATCGGAAGCCCGCATAACTAAAACTGCATTACAGTCAGCAGGCTAACGCCAAGCTGATCAGCAACAATGAAACCCACGTCTTCGTTACCCTAAACAGAGGCACCATTCCGTCCGGACCCAAACTGTGATGCTAAGGAAGTCGTCCAACACAACCCTCATATGCCAGGGAGAGAGGTCAAAGGGGGAGGAAATCACAGCCAAAATGAAATTGCACCCCCCCCCCCCCACACACAAAAAAAAAAAGTATAAAATCAGCAACTCCCACCCGGCCCACCGGAAGGACTGAGTCAGAGGGACTGGGGTTCCAGCTGGCAGAGATGTACACTGCAGTTAGTCAGCTGCCAGTAAAGTTACACACTGTCCGCAAAAAACAATATTTAAAAATAAAATAGATTTGGAAGGAAACTCGCTAGACGCACCACAGCTACCCAGATAGGTCTGAGCCTTACAGAATGAGGTGGGGACATGATGTCTCGAAACTCACTAGTAGCTACATGACTCCAAATAAGAGGAAGAAGCAGCACTGGATATCAGATCTGCCCATAGCCTCCATATCCCAGGGCCATTTTACACCCTCATTTCTACAGCCACATGAAAGTGGTGCCATGGGGTCTAATATGACCCACCAAGGTACAGCTGGGCAGAGACACTTCCACATGCCCAGTCAGGGCCAGCTGTCTGGCGAGTATCGATCCACATGGGGACCCCTGGCTTTGAGGGAGGGGGGAACTAGCCACCAGAAAGGGATTCAGTGGAATCAGGGTGGGAAACTACATGTTGGTCATTTATTTTTAAAAATTTTTAATTGTACCAGATGCCTGACCACCTCTTGGCTGTTCCCAACCCCTAAGCAGATTGCAGCATCAAGGATGCACCAAATGTCTCGTGTGGCCCATTCTTCCTGATTTCAGGGACAATATGAGGCTATCCAGGCACAGGAGAAGGTGGGAGGCTGCTAGTCTTTGGGGTCTCTTGCTTTGAATGCTGGAAATTCAGGGGGGGGGGGGGGGGGGGGGGGGGAGAGAGTTTAAAAAAATGATTAAAGAAGGCTACCTCCCCAGACCTTCAAGGTCCAGTGAGGAACTGAGCATCCAAATTAAACGAAGCCAGGTCAGACGACATGAAACCCAGCCTTGGCAAGGGCAAGGACGGCTGTGTACAGATCACCATGAGCGATCAGCTAAACATAGGACAAGCAGGGGGATCCGCCCATTATTCAAAAACACAGCCATGCTGCATTTATGCGGTGGCTTCCTGACGTCGTCGGCATCACTGAGCGTGATCACGCTTTGGCTCGGGAGCCAAGCTGGTAGGTTCCTGCTCCTCCACTCTAGAGGCACACACTAACAAGGCCTGCATTACAAAGCTTGCCGCCAATTAAACTTTTGTTAATGAAGAAAGGTGATGCAAGGGCAGAGCGTAATTGCACAACCTGCAAAATGGCTTAGTGTGGGTTTATTGAACATACCAGAATGATCCTCTTCTTTGGTAACTTTAAGATCTTTCACGAGTTCCCACAGAGTGAAACAGGAAACCTCGTGAATCTGATAGAAAGATACAGTGTTGATATTCCAATTAAAACTAAACATTAAAACACCACACTGCCCAAAAATTGAGGTATAGAACAGGAGAGTCTCTTACATTGGTAGTTATTTATTTGGCAGTTGATTTTGTTCAAAGCGACATACAAGAAAGGCAGATAATGCATAACAAGCATTAAGCTGTCAAAGGGGACAATTTGGTGCAAGTGCAGCTCGAGTGAGCTTCCAGGGATTGACTGGGAAAAACATTTTTGGGGAATTACAACTCACTTTACAAAGGTCTGCACTTGATTCGCTGAACCATACTTCAATCAGATATTGTCAACCAATCACAGACTTCTGCCCACCTCCATGATGGATACAGTTACACAGGTTATGATAGAGATGAACAGCCTGTCCGAGGGAGAAGGGGTGGAGCCTCACCCAGGGCTTCTCACACTCAGCCGTTGCCTCACTCTGGTGCCAACATTGCATGTTTTATGCAATTCTTTAGCTAATAAGAAAAAGCCACATTCTATCATGGCACAGACCAAATGAGAGAAAGAAAAATGTCCGAAGCAGCTACCTGGATGTGGCAGGATCCCAATCACATAATTGAACACTTATGAAACATGACAAAATATCAACTATGAAAATATTTCATGTTTATGAATATTAAAGTCCATTTCTCCTCTATAACGGTCACCATTAACACCACAAAGCCAAACCCACAGGATTCAAACCAGCAACCTACTGCTTAAAATCAGACAACCTGAACTGCCAGGTGACCTGCAGGAGGTCTGAGGGTGGTTTTTGAAGTAGTTTGCTTTGTGATGACATCTCCCTGACATACACAAGAGGCAGATTAAAAACACCAGCTGTGTAAAGTACTCTGCCCAGCTAGGTGTTAATGGCAGGTGGGGGGGGGGGGGCATCATCACCGGGCTAGTATAGCAGGGCCCCAAAGCTACACAAAGCTGAGCCATTCCATATCGAGGAAGTTCACTCTCCCGTCATGAAGAACAAGGCCAAGAAAAACGGTGAGGGGCAGCTTCCTTCCTAAGTGGTCTGTCATCCCCGTTATATTTCTGGGGAGGGGCCATGGTATTGTCAGCCTGTAAGCCCCCCACCAGAGCAGTACCTCAAGGTAGCAGAAATCAACCTACAGTGAACCCTGGAAACACAAGTCGTAAGGGAGAAGGTCTCACTTCTCCTGCCCTGCAGACAACCACCACGATCACCCAGGGAGCTGCTAGATAGACATCTGTGGTGGAAAGTGACACATTGTGTTTTGTCGCTGACGTGACCCCACCTGTCCCTCCAGACACAGGAAGGAAAAAGGGACTGACCGTGACGACTCACAGGGGGAAGCTACAGTTTTCTAAAGCGCCATGTATAAAATAATAAACAAACTGCTGTCAGAGGCGGCGAGCTGCACTAACCCCCCGACAGAGGAGACACAGCCCCCAAGCGGCCAGCTGTGTGGGGGGACGGGAAACAGACTCAAACCTGAGAATGAGTGTTAGATGGGGAAGAGCAAGCAGGGGCATGTCGACCTGAGGCTGCTTCATTCCAGAGCAAGAGGGCGGTTATGTGTGGCATTTAAAAAGGGAGATTGCAGTGAGAAACACGTCACGTAAACACACTTGCTGAGGTCCTGCAGATTCCTGTGAACTCTCCGCAACTGTGGCTTTTCAAACACTTAAATCCGAGGAATAAAACTTTGATATAGTTTGTCCAGCCCATTTAAGAAGGCCATAAAGTCCAAATAAACAGGCTATAGTGGGTTAAGCGCCATCCATACACAGAGGATTTTTTTTTGCAAGCAAAAGGAGAAGCGAAACTGCACGCAGCAAACAGGAGCGTTGCTCAGGTTCTCTGCCAGTGTGGCACACCGCGCACGACCGCAAACAGTCACACCTTACAGAGTTCTGCCACTGCATTCCAGCGAAGACTCAGTCCCCGGGTGGGGCCTGCCAAACAGCAACAAACTGTGAAATACCCATCTACGCCCCACTGTGCCTTGCATGCAGTGGACTGACCACGCCTCACGTCTGATCTCTTTATGTGTGGCTGACTCATGTCGCATTGAGATTCTGAGCAGTGAAACAGACCAAAATGACAAAAATCGGTCCATTTCACCTCTATAACCCAGTGCTCATCACCACAAAACCAAACTTAGGGGCAAAGAGACATAAAATAAGTCCCCAACCACAGTGAACTAATCCTCAAAAACAGCTGCAGAATCTTCATGCTGCTATGAATGTACAGTATAGCTTCCATACCATATTTATACACTCCGATACATTTACATATTTATATTTAAACATTTATTTTACCTAACTGCTGTCTTATGTACAGTATCTTAGTGTAAATATGCATATTATGTAAAAATAAATCCCTCCCATTTGCCAGTCACTTACCCAAGGAAGGGTTATTTAGGGGGTGGGATGTGAGCCTATTCCAGACAGTATTGGACAAGGGTGTCTCCTGGACAGGATACCTGTCTATCACAGGACAACATAATAAAAATGCTTTTATCAAATCAAACAGCCCAGAAAGTTGTTTGATTGCCTTCATAAGACGCCTTGAAAACACCGTTTCAGGAACAAATATCACATTTCATAACATTAAAAAAAAATCAAAGTCTGGTGACGTTAGGTCATTTGCACATTCAAAAGGTATTTTGATTAAATGCATCGCGTTCTCTCTTCGAATCTGCCCATATAAATGTATGTTTGGGGACGTGACCGTATCATACGGTCTCTGAGTGTCGTTACAGGTCTGCGGTACAGGATCACAGACTTTAAGTTCAACCATGCGCTGAAAAATACACAGGCAACTTCTGCGGTAGCAGAGGAAGTGCGAATCTTTCCCGTAAGATAAATTTTACTAATCCAGACACGGAATTTTTTTTCCACTGCAGAAAAAAACCGGTATAGCCTGAAAGGGCCTGGCATAGTAGTCTGTCAAAAAACATTAGTAATTACTACAACATAGCTTTGTAACTCGAATATTGCCTTGGGATACTACAGTGAAAACATGATCAACTGTGTGCCCTGGGCACTATATAGTCATAGTGCTCTAGGATTTACTACATTACATTATTACAATACAGCACCGATCAACCCACACATAGGTGGTCCAGCTGCCCCACACGCACAAATATCGAAATATCCACATGAAAAATACCGGCGTTGGTAAATGCAAGGGAATTAACGTCTGCAAAGGTGTTTTTCGTACAATTTCTAAATAAATGCCCCAGTCTGGCAAGAAAATCGCCAGGAAAACCACATGTGACAGCGATCAAATTAACGAGATTTTTCTACAATGATTTCCCGAATTGCTGAACAAAAAAAAGATCACACATAAATCCCATTGTTTTCACGAGCAGGCGATATATTGATACACAAGTTACAAGTTGGTGAACGATCGATCTTGATTGTGTCTTAATTGTGACACGCTGGGGGGGGGGGGGGGGGGGGGGGGGGGGGGGGGGGGGG